GAATTATGATGTTGAGCAAATAAAACGAAGAGATCGATGAATAATTACCCACCAAGAAACGAGATCAATGAATATCTCCTCTTCGTCTCCCTCGGAAGTCGGAATCCTCGGAATTCAGAAGCTTAAGATTGATTTTGTTGAGAGTAGATGGAGAAGAGAAAGAGGAATTAGGGATTTAAGATCGATTTTGGGGTATTTTTCTGTTCATAAAACGACATCGTTTATGGTCAAACATTCACAGTAATAGCCGTTAGCGACAATTAAACGCGTTTTAAGTTTGACTAATTTTGTGTCTAATTTGGCCAGGTCAACACAACTTTGTACTTAAAACGACTAATTAAGAAGTTCATACATTTTTGGCGCAATCCAGAGAGTTGAGTATTTAAATGACTGTTTTCCCTATATATAAGTATAGATTTTTGTTAGATACACATGTATACATATAGATTTTTGTTACTGTTTAGTGCGGTGGTGTGGTTGGTTACCATTCGGAACTTTAACTTGTAGAGATATTAGTTGTATCGATAAAATAATTTGGAACCAATTTTTTAAATTAATTTATTGAATATTAGTAAATTTTAATACAAAAATCTGAACCAATCATAATTGGAAACTGTTGTCTGATTGAACTTAAACTGATTAATCATAATTACAACTTTTGTTATAACAAATACTCCACCAATTTCTTCGGTAACTTAAACTATATTTCAACGGACAAAAAAACGCATATGTAAATATTAAACTTTTGAAATAAATGGTGAACTTTAAATATTTTTTTCATATAAAGCAACTTTATTTTGGGTACATAATAAAACATTTCAACGGACAGAAAAGAAAGCATGTGTAAATACTATACGAAACCACTAAATACTTGTACTAGAGAGACTTGTGGTCCTAGAGATATTATTGTAGGTGTTAAGTTATGGAGAAGTGTTTGAAAATGTGTTCACAATTAAATAATTTCTATCAAAGGAGTAGGTGAGAGTCAGATTCTTTTTTTTTATATAATATGAAATTCTATCCTATAACAAAGTCACACGTACCTCGATTGGACATAATGCATTTTTTTAAAATAAAATAATGATAAAAGATCGAATTATTGTGATTTGGATTTCTCTTGTGGTTGGTGTGGAATAGCAAAGATATAGGGTCTGACTGTTTGCATTGTTTGTAGAATTGAGAAGAATTGTTTTTCTTCTGGGCCTATGGTAGGAAAGTTAAATTGAGAATAAAATTTTTTTCTACTAATTGTTAGGTGGAAGATTTCTACCGATAAAAAAAACAATTGTTTGATAACAAAAAAAAAAGTACCTTTTCAAATGGGTTCTAAAAAAAATGAAAATATTTTGTTTTTTACTTAACTGATAAAATGTTGAAAAAAAAATAAATATTTTCCTTTCTTTTCTTCTGCAAGCGTCATGCAGTCATACTAGTTTTCTGGTTAAACAATTCAAAGAAAGGGAACCAACTATGACTTGCAAGATTGCGATGGTATTTTTCTTTATACATCAGTCCGGTTTTAAATTGTTTTAGTTACAATAAAAGTTACCTTCAATTGCAAAGTCATACAATGCGATTAGTAGTACTTATATATACAGATTACAGTACTTATATATACAGATTAATAGCCTTTAGTCTTACTACATAAAGCTATTACGTAATAGTATATAACTATAGTAACATAGCTATATGTTTCAATATTTTTTTTAATATATAAATATAACTAAAGTATTACGTAATATATAGTTTAAAGATGAAAGAATAATCTTCTACCGAACTATTTTTCATAGTTAAGAGTATTTAAGCATTTTTAGGTAAAGCTTTCCGATTCTTTTTTTGTTGTTTAAGGAATTTGACAACATTCTTCGAAAACAAATGTCAAGGAAATGATTCAGCGTTGAAAATATTTATACGATATTAAGGGAAAAGTGACAAGTAATTAGGAATAATTGTATCAAAGTTTCAAAAAAAAAAAAAATTAGGAATAATTGTGGCGTGTGGCTCCCACTCACCAAACTACCTGTTCCGCTTGCATTGCACAGACTCTCTTAAAGTCTCATCTTTTTCCTTTTGTGAATCTCTTTATTTGTTGATATATCTAATCTTCTTTGCTTTTTTTTATTAAGGTTGATATACCTAATCTAAAAATAGTTTTCAATTAAATTTAAGTGTGATTATTGCAGTTTATATCTTCTAAAATTTTCATAGTACATAAAGATAGAATTACCTTCTTTTTTTTTTTGGGTCAAAAGATAGAATTACCTTACGCATATAAAAGAAACATCTACGGATGTATAAAATGTTGGCTCTCTTTAAGGAAACTCCATATTTTATTAAAAAAATTAAGAAAATAGTATTTTTTTAAAAAAATTATAAATAATTTAAATTTAAATCTTATACTATAAAAAAAAAAGGAAATACAGAAACGAAGTCTAAATCTAAAATTCTAAACCCTAATATAAAAATTAAAATTTTGACCTAACCAAAATTGTATATTTCTCTATTTTTTTAGGAAATTAGCCTATTTTTAATTAATTTTTTTCTTAACCGTTCATAACGTATTTACAAAACTATAAATGACCCACAAACTACGGTAAAATTTGTAATTAGTTGACATTGTTTTTGTTGGTCGTAGATATGTTAAAAAAATGAAAATATCCTAATAAATTAAGCTCACAAGCATCAAATTAGTGTGTGAGCTACTTCTTAATCCATATTAAAACTAACGTCTCTTTATACCAATCATATAATCTTGTTTAGATTCGGGCGTCGAAGAATCTATTGGATGACACCCATATTAGAGTCTGCTCCTGATACGAGCACAATGAAGCATCAGGTCCGCCATAATGCACATGGAGCATTTCCAAGCTAGATTACACTTAAACACCTACCAGTACCACTAGATAATACGTGGAACATATATCCTCCATACGTATTGATATTGCACATGGAGATGGAGCCTCTCTACTTATAGCGCATATATCCCACATATCCGAATATTAATTTTATTTGTTCCATAGAAGACGTACCATTACTTCCTAAATTTGTAATAGTACGAGACTCCAATACCACAAGAGTCTAACACCGTTCCGCGAGAAGATGGTTTTATGCGCAAGCAGTTAAAAATAATAAACTTATGAGTTATGACCAAAATGTGATAGTTCAAAGCAAAGTGACGAAAACTCAAACGAAAATAAATGTACATTGATTTAGATACAATTTAAAATAATAACAATAATGTAGCAGTACACAGAATTGTGAGGTAGTAGTTAGCTAGGTCTAAACATGTAAAACTAGCATGCTTGTTAAGTTGTTATTTTTTTTTTCTACAAAGTTGTTATTGTTAAAGAACCCGGGATTGCTCACAAATATGAATCATTGTTTTAAATTGTTGAAGGGGCCGGTATAGATGACAAAGATATTCTAATTTATATGATAAAATACAAAACAAAATGATGGTAATTTTTTTTTTTGGTCCACAAAATCAAATGATGGTAATAATTTCAGCAGTAAAATTTTGATTTTTCACGCTATAATTTTTTTTATATAATAATTTGTATGGATGTATTACATTCATGAACATTGAATTTTCTTTGGCCATTGTGATGGTGACAGTCTCTAATATGATTAAAAAAAATGATATGTTTTCAATTGGACCTTCTTTAATACTGTATTCCATATAAATAAACCTCTCAACCCCCACACTTCTCACCCATCTCACACAAAAAGCCTAAGCAATAAAAAAATCTCAAAGATTTTCCACCAAAAATGGGTTCAACGGCGGAGACACAGCTAACTCCGGTGCAAGTTACCGACGACGAAGCTGCCCTTTTTGCCATGCAGCTAGCAAGCGCCTCCGTTCTTCCGATGGCTTTAAAATCAGCTTTAGAGCTTGACCTTCTCGAGATCATGGCTAAGAACTCTTCTCCCATGTCTCCGTCCGAGATCGCTTCTCATCTTCCGACAAAAAACCCCGAAGCTCCGGTCATGCTCGACCGTATCCTCCGCCTTCTTACGGCTTACTCAGTCCTTACATGCTCCAAACGTACACTTCCCGGTGGTGGCGACGCCGTCGAGAGGATTTACGGGCTTGGTCCGGTTTGCAAGTACTTGACCAAGAATGAAGATGGTGTCTCCATTGCTGCTCTTTGTCTCATGAACCAAGACAAGGTTCTCATGGAAAGCTGGTAAGTTTTTTTTACGAGATCATCATATATATGTTTTGATTTTTTAATGGATCTTATGGCAAATCAAGTTGGGATTATTTTTTTTCTCTTTCTTTTAGAGATAATGTGGTTCCTTGAGCTATGCTTCTTGGCTCATGAAAATTATTTCAATTCCAAAGGTAAAGTTGAGAGATCTCTAGAGAGACGCTAAGTCTCAAAAGACAATTAGACAGCGACAAAAAAAAAATTACAAATAGACAAAGATAGACAAAATCACGCGCTTTTGACACGTAAACTATACCTACTGTCCACTAGCAAACTATTTGACACGTAAACTATACCTACTGTCCACTAGCAAACTATCTTATATAATTGGTTAAATGAGCTCCTTAGATGAAAGTTTTGTTTGTTATGCGAAAATTATACGAATAGTAAGGAGAAAATTGGAAAAAAATATGTTAGTTGGTCTCATTTCAAGAGCTAGAAGAAACATTATCTTTTGCGAAAAAGACCCTTGTCTTTTTTTTTTTGTTTCATGGCTTTAAATAGGGTAGATGGAATCGTTCTTCCGATCATCGAGAGCAACAA